TCTTGGAGCCTTTTCTGACGTGCTCTAATGTCATCGCGCTGTCTGTTTCCTCCGTTCATAACGGATAGCGACTCCTTTGCCGACTGATACTTTTATTCAGTTACATTTCTTTAATCGTTGTTTAATTGTGCAGTATTAATATGAAGAACAGTGCACAACGCTTCACAATTGTAAATCTATGAAGCTGAAATGCCTGCTTTATTTCAGCATTACTTACATGTTTACAAAAATTACGAAATCTGCTTCAAAGGATATGAATTATCTGTATATCTCAAATTTGCAAATTCCTTTATCCAACAATGAAAGGTTAGTGATAATAGGTCATGGCCTGCTCAAATGGCCCTTCAACGCATCTAGAAACAAGGCCGGTGCAATTGTGCTGCTGCTATACAGTGAAAACTCGATTTTTATTTTTGTTTCCTTGCATTGTGCAATTTCGCCTTTTGAAACCGGTATTATTTGTATAGCGTGTTATCGAAAAGTCGAACAGAATATGGAGAATATATAAGTCATTAAGTGGTAATAAATAATTGTTTCAATTTAGACCCCATAAATCTAACATTGTTTTGTATTCAGTTTTCACGTATCTCAGGTGGGTCAAAGTAACTAGGAGCCATGATAGGTTTGCGTCAATCAGTACGATCACATGCGCATTAAAAAGGCATAATAGGGAGTTACTGTTGTCGTTGTCATCTGAGATTGAAAAAGTTTCAATAGCAGTTATTCAAATTTATGTCTGATCCGTTTGAAGTGGTTTGTACTGTTGATAATGTGACATCATATGCTACAGTTGCTACTTATAACAGTATAATGAGGTATGATACAGGAACGTAGCTAAACGTATATTGTGATATAGATTTTGAACAGAGTATACGATTGCAGCATTTGCTATTTAGGATTATATCCATGGATATGCGGGACGCAATTCAATTTGGAGTGCAATTAAGTTTTTGTCTTGTATCAGTCTCTATCTTATTTAGTTTCTCATCAGTTATCCGCAGTCGTGAAGCATATGATACCGCAGAAAAATTCAAAGGGAATAAATGAAACGCTAGATTGCGAAATAAAAGCTGTCATCGCTTAGACGTTCTTACTAAGACCTTAACGTTATATTTTAACATCCTCTAAAAATGGACGAGAAAAGTAGCGCAATTGTCAAAATGCCGATTTGTCTTATAGTACATTGGCGGATGTTTCATGGCACACTATTACTTCTTGAATTCGAACTAAGAGTAATGCAGATATAATAAATAAATAGATTTCGATGTTGGCAGCTAAAAATACCGCATTTTGTTAAAGATATATCTACCGCTAACCATGGATTGAAATATGGTCCATTGGTTTCTTCTGACGAAAAAAATAAGAACAGTTCTTATTAAATACCAGTTTTACAAACTCATGACTGTACAGTATACGGTAGAATTGACAATATCGACATAAAATAATTTATGAAACAAAACGGAGTAGAGTAGATTTATATAGAGCTGCACTTACAGCTATTCCATGCCAGCATAAAAAATGTAATATAGCACCTCATTTTCTTATAGCAATCACATCATCTTATTTAATAATAATTAACACCTACGCATAACACATCCATGCATCCTGATTGGATGTCCACGACATGCCATGCCATTCTTCTCTTAAAAAAATGTTACGCATCTTTCAACTCACCACTCTGGGATTTGCACTACTTAGAGATTTTCTCAGCGAGCAGCATTTTGGTAGTCATATGGAGATGGGAGCAGCAGTTCTGTTTAATATGACTGTAATAAATCCAACTTAACATAACTTGATCAGAAACAGCCGATTGGCACTTTCGTAATTTCGCTGAGGTAAATTAACGTTTTTTCCCAGTTTTTGGAGGTTCACGGAAATTCGGAAATAGTTCGTTCAACCTGTCACTACCTGATATTCAAATTTGTGTACCCATTGCACTGCCCC